AGATGTTGCACACGAATATTATTATACCTCAAAATATATATACATTAAGGAATAAGGTAAGATGAAAATCAACATCAGAATGTTGTTATATACTCTGTGAATAGCAGTTCAAAAGTAGAAACCTCACAAAGTATATTTTGAACAGAATACAATTAGACAAATTTTAATTTGAGTGAGTTTAAGAAACACACTACTAATTATGTTTTAAAATTATAAGACAGTTAGATAAATAACCAGATTTTCTATGGTGGTCTAGCTTCAATTGACTCATGATCTCAACTATTGAAATTACCATAAAATCCATAAAACCTCTTCTGGTACACATAATTATTTCTTTGAAACTTCATGTTCTGAAGAAAATATGAATGTACTAAAATAATTCAGCTATAAGCTTCAATTTAATCTTTTTTATAAACATCAAAAATAATTATTATTTCTTCGAATTGATAATCCCAAGCGCATCTCATCTCCTGTCGACTAGCTTGACAGTCCAATATGACTAGTGAGCTTTCCAAAAGTGTTTAAAGTGAAAATCCAGATGAAAAGCTTGATTCAATCAGCCTATCTTTATTTCTCAATATCAAGATAAAACTATCATAAAATAGGGCTTTTTGTATGGATTCATTATGTATTTTCTACAGAGATTCGTATGATATCCGAGTTCTTTTTTTCTATCAATGTTACCCTCGAACTATGCTGAAGCACAGTTAATCTCATTAAGCAGAGACGGGGAAATAGAGATTTTGCACATGCTACTCCATATGTATACATGCTTGAATACATTTGGACTGATAGTATGAATACTCACCATTTATTTTTTTCACTGATCTTTCCTCTTTTGGATCCAAAATAAGATGACTAGCTGTGTATTTGATCAGATTTCTAGAAATAGCACATAAACTTTTCCAAAACAATTAGACCTTCATGCTGTTAATTAATTTATTTCATATTGTGGTGTGTGCTACTGATGTCAACAGACATAATAATATGTATCGTCAGTCGAAATTAAAGTGTCTGATGGCAGAAGATTAAGAAGATCGAATAAAAATGAACGAGAACAGAGAGTGATTGGTGTGGAAACGAAAGAACAATGAAGTCTGAGATGACTGATTGGCATTTTGCAAACAAAGTATTTATTGTATGGATCGCAGATCTGACGAAGATGTTCTGTAATTTTCCATTCAAACACAATCGATTGTCCCCACTTGTGTTTCCGTTCACTACAATGTGACGTACTTCAATGTTTTCAGCAACGCATAACATACATTAAGTGACTTATCACTTCTTATTTTTTTCCAAGTATAACTTACATTAAGGCTGATTAAAATCTAACTGAAAATTATATTCTTCGCTTATATGTTTTATCAAATCTATAATTACGCGAGAACTTATCACAAATCCTAGTATATATAGTAGCAAATTGTATCAGGATTTGTTAAATCGTAATAATAATGTATTCACTGTATGCTGTATGCACTTCGTTTTTAGTAAACTTTATTCAAAATCTTTAATATTCATAAAAATACTTCAAGTAAATGTTTACCTATTTTAAAACTTATTAATGATTAACAATACAGCTAATCTTCTTCTTTTGTTATTGAAGATTCTGTTTTCCTTCTTCTATGATGTAGTTATTACAAATTAAGAATGTAGAAAATCTAGATCATTTGTGTTGATTATCTTATTATTCTATAATCAAATCTTGTTAAATAACATTTATTGAATTTCATTATATTTTGATGAAATATTTTTTCTTGTATTTTTTATTCTTTGAACATCTTCATTGAAGTAATACTTAAAGGCGTATATTATATAAGCAGTAATATTTGTGAAGTATAATTTATAATGATTCATTCAGAGGTTCAATATCATAAATAACTTAATTTCTTTTTTTATTTATTATTATTATTAGTGGCTTTATTCAATATTATATTCTTGGTATAATATAGAATTCTCAGCACAATGTACTTGAACAAGTTCCCTTTTCTTATTTCTTGATCGATCCTCTCGATAAATACTGAGTTGTCACCAGTTAGATATTAGCAGTTCAGGAACCGACATCTGAGTAATGTATATTCTTTGCGATGCACATTGCCAGCGACCACGATATCTCTTATTGGTCTGTTGTAATGTCTTAAACTTTTCACAAGTGCACCTGAATAGGTTATGCGACTAATATGCATAAAGATATGTTAAAACAAACAAGAAAGACAGGTAACTTGTTGAAATATCCAGGTGCTAGGAACAGGTAGCTCAAATATACAAACATTTTCAATGTCCACAAATATCAAACAAATCAATTAATCAGTAAAGATAACTGAAGTAACTAAATAATGCAAATTATAAAAATCAATGTCCTGTAACTATGTTTCTAATAATAATAAAAACTGTTTACCATTAATTATCTTTATTCAACCTTTTATTATCGCTAAGCTATTGTTAAAATGTTTATAATTCAATCAAATTATTTTCTTATTTAATATCAATATTAATTGTTTGAATTAAAAGTGTATCGCCCTTTTTTCTTTCAACTTACAATTAATGATGATGATAAGACAAAAATAGGAAAAAACAACTTATTTTTCCTAGAATCATTGATAATTAAAAACAAAATATCTTTTATAAAATGGTAAAATAAAACTTAATTAACCTTAATTTGCATAAAGTTTAGGTTGAATAATTTGTTTGTGTAAAAAATAGGAAGTTTTAAAAAGACTAGATTATCTATTAGATAGTCAGAATTAAGGGATGGAAACAATTAATTAATGTTAAATAACGTTAATAAAACACTTATTGACAGATAATTCCTATTTAAACATTAGAAATTAAGAATATGAAGTTCAGCGAAAAGATCTCTTTTTAATGATTTTATTATCAAGCTGTACATATATATATATATATATATACGATTGTACAGCTTGATCACATGATATTCGTGTTGTTCTGTTGTACAACTTAAACTTGGATTAATTTTTATTTGGTTATTTATTCTTTGATGAAGTGGCTTACACTGATTCACGAAACGTCAGAAAATCTAATTTTTCTGTTCATTGGGATATTACAAATACATTGTTTATTTGTAACAATCTACCTAATGCTCAATTTATTCGAAATTATGAAATCAAACCTTGATAATGATACCTACATATTATGAAAATAATAAGAGAAACTCATAAATTATAACGATGTGAATTATTGAAAATCTTTAAACGAAACACGTCACTTCTCTTTGCCTTTACTTTGAATAACAACAAAAAAGACAAAAGAAAATTATCAGTATAAGTGTTGTGGAGATTATAAAGTTTTTGATTAAGATCATGAACCAATTGACGTTCGGTTCATGATCTCACTCAAAAAAGAACATTATATTAGAACTAATTCAATTTACATCTTATGAATGATCAAAATTATTAATTTCAGTTATTGAACTAATAATAAAACTTTCACTATTGAAGATATAATTTTTGAATATTTAGAATCTTGAATATATGTTAAAATGATATTTGTTTTCTTTTTGAATGAGTAATAATGAAATTGACAGTGATGAATCAAATTAATAAAATATGAAAGACTATTCATTGGTATGAATTTTTGTTTCAACAATTACATTCACTTGGGAAGTCAACTAATTGCCTATGTAGAAAGTGACTGATGTTGAATAATTTGAAGAGTCATAGTAGCAATTTTTTTAATAATTGAATTAATGAGTCAATTAAACCTAGGCCACCACGGAAAACCTGGAAGAACTGGATGGCCGTTTTCTCCTAGTATGAGACTTTTCAGCAGTGTGCATCCACGATCCAGCCTCGCGAGATTCGAACACTTAACATTTAGACCACTGAGCCGGTATCCAACAGTGTTTATGGTAATGTTAACTTCAACTAATCCGCGAAGTTGAGCGAAACATCGCTCAGGAGTCTCAGTGGTTTAAACATTCATATGCAAGACTGATAGGTCCTGTGTTTGAATCTCGCGAGGCGGGATCTTGAATGTGAACTATTGAGGAGTCTCATACTAGGATGTAGCGGCCGTTCAGTGCTTCCAGGTTTTCCATGGTGGTCTAGCTTTATTTGACTCAGGAATGAGTTATTAAAAAAATACCTCAATCTCCACAAAACCCCTCTGTATTTACAGTAGCATTATACCATGAATTGGTTACAATAATCCGATAATAAAAAGATGTCATGTAGTAATTTGATGGCTGATAAAACATCTCAAGGTGAAAATAAATGTCCACTGGATTAATATTAACAGCAGATTAACTAAACGTTAAAATAATATCTAATTAATAGTTTTGTAAAATAATTGTATAGAATTCGAAAAAGCTATAGATTATGGTAGATCAAAAAGGAGATTAAGATTATGTTAGAATGAAGAATCGAACAGATTTTTTTCGCGTACAAGGTTTACAGTCGAATTGATAGATAAATAGATATAACCTCCACTGCATATAAACATTTCAGTTTTATTCCTTTAGAACTGAGTTTTCCGGCTATATGAATGATTTTGAACAATGGTTCTGGTAGGGTTATTGTTGTTGTTGATAATATTATCACTTATCGACTATAAGTGTGGTGTGTGCTACTTACGTCGAAAAGTATAAGTAGCATGTAACAACAGTCTGAAAATGAAAATATGGAAGCACGGTCTAAGAAGATCTAGATGAAGAAAAAACAGAAACAGTAATAGAAAGGAATTGTCACTTGAGAGTATCATACAGAATGTAAAAGACAAATAATAAAAATTCGCAAATGAAATATTCATTATATGATTTTCATATTTTACCAAGAATTTCTATAATTTTGTATTAAAGAATCTTTGGTTATTCGTTCATTACATTAGTAGTCTTCCCACTTTCATCATGTCATTACACATCAAAGTCAAATTAAAACTTGATAATTTACTTTAAAACAAATATATGTAGTTCATCTTATTTGAATACTGAGTTGTGATGAAATCACCATTCATTGGTCAAATTCTTCTCTTCTTTTTATCGATAGGGTAACTTCTTTGTAGAATTAACAATAATATACGAATCATACAGTATATTACCGAACACTATTAGGATGAAATTAAAATATCAAAATAAAGCAAAATTATCTAATATTATCGATGTTTTATATCAATATGGCAGTGAAACATTCCTTTACAAATTTCTAATCAATCTAATCAAAACAATCACATCAACTTATGTTCCATGGATGAAAGACTATACAGCAAATATTGATAATCAGGTAAACTATATTTATTGGTTATATATGAATTTTATTAATGCAAATATAAATATTTTATGAGTTCATGATAAACACCTCTATCTTTCATAGTTCAGTCCATGTATTGATTGAAGCTAAACCACCATGGAAAACCTTGAAGAACCGGATGGCCGTTTCGTTCTATTGTTTGACTCTTCAGCAATGCACAACCACAATCTCGTCGCAGGATTCGAACCCACGACCTTTGGTCTCATGCGTCAACGCTTCATTTCTGGACCACTGGCATTCAACGGTGTTAATATCTAGCTTTAACCAACTCACTTCTATCTCTGTTTGTTCAGTCAATTTATTCAAGTCGTGTCCTATATAAAGTATATACACTTGGTACATATAAATTTAAATTGTAAACAGCTGAAGAAAATTCAGAATATTAATGAATTCATATTGTTTTGCTATGAGATTTATTCTTGGAGAGATTGTACAAGACAGTTTATTTGTAAAGTTTACATTGTCATTCCGGGTTATATTACAAATTAAAGTAATTTATTTAAAACTGATTCACCTTTTAAAAATCCTGTCCAAGCAATATAACAATATATATATGAAGACTAGTTTCTTGAAAGACTTATATAAGTTAAATTACGTTTGAAAAAAAAAGATTTTAACAATTACATCATACTCATTGAAAAATAAGTTTCATAACTAATCTCTCTTAACTACAGGCTGCATAAAGATTCCAAGTTTTATTTCTCATACAATCAAATATTTCACGGTTAAATAGTCTGAAAATAAGGTAAAAAACATAATGACAATAAGCTAATACGTTCTAGTATTTATTAGTTTTACAGCTGATTTAACTGAACGATCAATAATTCAAAGAAACATATTTTGACAGTCCACTTAACATGAATTTAATTTTTTCATTAATAATGTCATATTAAAATACAAATAATAATTTTACACTTGGAGTAATATTGTTTCTAAGTAGAAAAACATCCTAGTAACTATTGACTAGTTGTTTTTGTATTCAAATATACTTGGTTGTCCCCAACTGTTTTCTCGTTCTCTACAGTAGTAATATTCATTTAAAATAACTCAGTTCTCCTTCACTTAATTGATTCATTTAATCTCAATAAGACATGTTATTTATACTAATTAAGAAACACATGATTAATCACCTATACATAAAATATCTGATTATTTGTAAGATTACAAACGTAATTTATTACAATTTGAGTCTTTTATATAATCAGTCTGCAAGTTTGATATTAGCTCGTATTTACATTTTTGCTAATAGTTTTGAGTACAAGTTATACTCACAAAATGTATAGTTTAGGCTTTTGGAGGTTGTAGAATTTCATTGAAATCATGAACTTATCAACGTTGGACTACCATTGAAAACCCCGAAGCACTGAACAGGCATTTTCTTTTAGTATGGAACTACAAAGCAGTGCGTATCTATGATCCCGACACATAGCTTACTGCTGCTATTTTGTTCAATAGTCACTCATGTCAACCCTATTAAACAATCTCATTGCACACTAGAGTACATAATAATGGAACGAGTATAGAACACTGTAGTCGTCAGTTTGCCCATTGGATTTTTTTATTCAGGATTCTTTTAAAAATCAAAATATTGAGCACACTTGTGTACATAGTAAATAAAGCTTATCAATAGTAGTGATGAAGTATCTTTATCTCACTATTTAAATATTTATATTAGGAATTCTCATAGTTTACAAATATGTGAATTGTTAGTAAACTGTACAATACATTACATTATATGTTTATAATGTTCAACAAATGAAACGAAAAACAACCTTAATTACTCGATAAAAAATCTCATGTACTTCAATTTTGAAAGCTTTATTTCACATTAAATATGTTTACTTTTATTTAAAACGAAAAAACGAATTATTTATCCATTCAATTGTTTATTCGTTGCTATAGAAACGGTCGTTACAGACTGATTGATCTTCAAAATGTTGAATAAACATACACACAAAAATGTTATCTCTGTAAAAAAATAAAAACATAATTACCGAATTACGGATATGTGTTGTATAAAGTTAGCGCCATAAAAAAACAATAACACTGTAAAACCAATGAGTTAGATGACTACATTTTATTTCATAATGATCGTTCTATATCAACTTTGGTGCCAACATTTATAAGGTACATTTAAATCTTTAATAATTTTAAAATAATCGCCAATATTATAAGGAATTAAACGTGTATGGAGAGAGTGATAGTAGCAATTAGTTTGATTTGATTCTGTAAACTAATAAAGATCTTCGATATCAATGATATTAGGCTCATTTAATCAATATGGACACTTTATGAATCGTTAGATCCTAAACTTGGAACAGATAAGCAAGTAAGTCGGGTGAAAGAGCTATTACTCAAATAATAATCACAAAAGTAACCCTTTGTTTTATAATCAGTGAACGTCTCTTTTTTTCTTTTTATAAATAAATCATTTAACATAATGCTTGAAAACAGTGATAAAATTAATTTCAATCCTCAATTCCTTTACTAAAACACGAAAAGAAACCAGAGAGAATTTTTGATTGAATAGCGAAGATAAACAATATAATTTTTAGAAAAGGTATTATTAGTAAAAATGTTGTTTTATGAATTATAAAGTGAGTAATGCCATACGAAGAATCTTCCAGTGTCTACATTTGTTAATAAACTTGATTTAAATTTAACTAGTGAAGCTAAACCAAGGATGAAAGATGATCGCGCATTGTCGTGGACTGGTTAGAGTTTGACATTAACACCATTGGGTTCGGACTCAATAGTCCATAGGTTAAAAGTTCACGTACGAGACCGAAGGTCCGGAATTCAATTCCTTCGTGAAAATTCATGGATGTTCACTTTCGAGTTCTAAGCTAGGACAAGACAATCTCCAATGCTTCTAGATTTTCAATAGTGATCCAACTTATGTCTGTTCATGATATCAATGAACATGCAATTTTTTAAAATTTTTTGTGTTGTAATGGCTTTCAGCTTACCTGTTTTGATTAATATGTTACGCTGTTTATGTATTTATCAAACTCATTTTCTCAAGTCATTATAGGTGATTTTACTATGTGGATGGAATTACAATGCAAAAACTTGATGTTCTAGTGAACTGAATGAAATTTATCCGACATAATTTGTCTGCACTCGTTGTATTTGTAGCTTATTGATGTTACCCAATCACTCAAACAAGTGTTTCTATGAAATATGATATACTGAAGCTACATGTCTTGAATTATAATATAATCTACTGAATGGCTTGTTGAATGAAGTTTATTGGGATCAAGTACAACATGATTACCTCACGGAAACTGGATTTATTCACTTATTAATAGATAATGCAAGCTCTTGGTTTATGTTTAAACTTGGTTAATTTCTTAAACCGAAGGCATATTTAATATAGTTTTTTAAAGCTAAATAAATTCAACTAGTTAAATTAAAAATCGGTCATTAAGCTTAAATATTTAAAACTAAAATACAATATATGCATACATATGTAAACATACTTTTGAGTCGAAGGGAGGACTGAACTATAAAATAGTCATAAATAAATAAGTAAAGTGGTCAGTTTATAAGAAAAAAAACTTGAACAGGACAATATTTAATTTTCCATAGTTTCTGTCCATTTCGAATAGTTTATTGAAGCCTTGACTATTCGTAAATTAAGCCTCCCTCCTTATGTGTACAAAGTCAATTTATTGTTATTTTGAATTCACTCTGGTAATCCTTAAATCATTTTATGGCTTAGCAAAGTGATGTAAAAAATGTTTCTCTCCCCTTTGTTACGTTTTTTACTTGAACTTCCATTCAATTAACCTTTATTAATTTTCATAAAAAATATTTTGACAAGTATAAATGTGACCAGATTGTTCAAATTGGATAGCGCAAATTACATCATATTTTTTCAGATCAACTACGTCTTCTTATTGCTCTATTGAATTTTATTAAAGAGACTAATTACTTTAAACAATATATAATTGTCTGATCTTCAAAGGTTATTCATATTATATCTTTATCTAATTACCGGTTAATAAATACAGACCGAATTACATTTTAAATTTATCACAGTAAATATGATCAAGTTAGAATACTTAAATGTTTCGATAAATGAATAAATAAATGTCATATTTAAGGAATTTTAGTAACCAGTTACATTCTGAATTAAATAATAATAAAGTATAATGGTGAACAAAGTATATTTATATATTTATAACATTTAATAATATAGTTATGTAACGAAACTGAAAGTTGTATTATATACATATATATATATATATATATATATATATATATATATATATATATATATATATATATATATATATATATATATATATATACATATATATATATATATATATTATAAACTATCTAAATGATAAAGACAATAGACAAGTTAAATGTTGGTCTCAATATTGATTCTTGTATTTAATTCAACATAACGGTACTTTATAACTAGTTTAACATTTTCTAATAAGACAAAACGTATGTCTTTTGTTTTATATCTTAATATAGTAAAAATGTCCTGTAAATGTTTCTATTGCTTTAATGTATATAACTTCTAAAGGTTATTCATTCTGTTCATTATATATTTTTTTATTATCTTTTTATATCATTTATTAGACCTATAAGCTTAAAATATCACTTCGTAACTATTGTAGTAAATAAATTTATCAGGGTAATTATGTGGTAAATGTTTATTATTGTTTAGAGATAATCGGTCTTTTGCTCATCATGATCACTGATATCATATAAATACAAGCTAACAGTCAATAAACATAATAAACCGAAGTGCGATTCAGAATATATCACGAAAGAATAAGTATTTATACTTTTCATAATAATACTGATTATTCACATCTTCATTCTCTTCATATACTTGAAAACTGTTACAAGTAATAACTTCCACAGATCGTTATACTTTTAAGATAATATACGTGAGAAGCGAATTACTACTAGATTTTTAATAAGATATATTCATGTTCTTAATGAAAGTGATACTTTCTACTAATAGAAGAAGCAGATACTGCACAGTTAATAATATGATACAATGAAATAATTCATGGGAAGTAAAATGAACATTGCACAATGTAGTGGTCGTGTGGACTCAGTAGCTAAGTGGATAGTGCAATGGCGTTTGAGTCTCGGAGTGAATCCCAGCTCTGGGATGAAAATATATCTAGTTAACAACTCTTAAATGGGATAACAGGTACGTCCTACATTCCACTGCTAACCACTATCCACCTTTGCTTAAAAAGCTTTTGATTTAAAGCTATATCGAGGCAATCTACATAGGATGCACATATGTCAACAAGCAATTGATCAATTACAGTCCTAAATAACATTGGGAAGATACAAGTAAAATAACACCAAGTTCATCTATGAACATATTTTTATTTTCAAACAAATGTACTAACACAATCCATTCTGTTTTCGATTATAGTTATCTCCAGTTTTTTTTCTATTGTTTATATTAAACATGTTATTTGCTTTCATTTATCCTCATAAAGAATGTCATTTTGTTTGTTTGATTGTTTGGTAAATCTGTTAATG